AGATAAAAACAAATCCGGGTTACAAACTAAAACTGAGGGAAACGCATCAAATATAAGAGGAGAACAACGACACAACAAAAACACAACATTAAAATGACCAATTTGCTAGATTTTGTCGGTTTATTAACACACATTCGGATATAATTGTACATTAAAAATGCATATTTTCAAAATGTAAACAAACACAGTTTTCCAATCATCCTTTATTCTAGATTTTGTCGGATTATTTACAAAAATACGGAAGTAATGTACATTGAAATTTAAACAGATATGGCTGTAAAATCAAAAGGAAATTGTTCAAATTCCCGATAAAACTGAATACCAGATAGTATTAACTTCTCATATTAAGTGGTTCCTCTTACAGTGAGATTATCACTGAGATTAGGAAAAGTGTCAAAGCAGTAGACCATGACATACATATAGGGACAAGGTCAAATAATCTCCATTGAAATATCTCGTCAACGCAATTAAAAAAACTATGGGATATTTCATTGAGATATGAATTAAGTTCAACATCGCCAGAAAAATTTGGAATCTTAGTTCCTTAAACATTTCTAAATTCATAATATGATCTAAACAAGTTAGTAACTATACCTCACTGTGTAATGATGATTGCCTAACCCATCCTGAAAACATTGATGTGTAATTGCTATGTGTTGTTTAATTCCATTGTCATTGTTAATTACTATATATTAACTTGGAATAAAATTGATATAGACGTTGAGAAAAAACCTTGTAGAGGGCAAGGAAACGGGTGATCATTTTTGAAATCATTATTTTTAATCCCATTGTTTTTCTATCATTAAATATGTTTTACCTTTAGTATCAGTATAATCCCAATTGCTGTTCACAATTTTATTTTATAATTTTAAGCACCCCATAATTCAGTATTGTTTGGTCTTTTTCTTTCTATTTTTTGTCTTCTATTCTCTTAAATGTAATCCCGATAGAGACCCTCACAAAAGTGTGTAAAGTGGTCAATTCCTGAACCATACAATGCGTGTTTAAATAAAACCTTTTTATAGATTTAAGATTAGTTTGTGTGTTGTCTAATTAGTGTTTGATAATAATTTAGAATGTTATAAAGATTTAAACCAAACAATTTATCTGATTTTTGTTTATTTTTTCTGTTCAAAATATACCTTATTATGCAGTACACATATATGTCTGTTAAAACAAAACAAACTATTGTACATGTTATTAAGACTTTTAGAGATGACTTTATTTTTACTTTTAAGAAACTATGCTTGAATGACTTCCTCTATCATGGAAATAATAATCGGAAACTCATGCATTACAGTTATTGCAATAATTATATTTGCTGGGTATCTTTCAAAGGTTTAAGGATTTGGCAACCCATTAGGGGAAGAATTATAAAATTTAACAACTAACATCACAGAACACTTTTCTAAAAACAAAACTTGAGCTACAGTTACCCTTTATTTGATTTGAAGTATCCATTTTCTTAGTAAAAGAATAGGTGAATCAAAGATTGAATGGAACTTTTAAGTTTTTCTGTAGAACAGTCATTTGTGTTTGGCACAGGAGTGCATGTAACACATTTACAAAGAAATTTGATGTTTTTTATTGGATGATTTATTATTCATTTACTTTCTTCATTTTGATTCAAAACTCCATTTAACTGTGTTCACATGTATTGGGAGAGTTTGGACACCACATTTCCTTATTTTTCTCGAAACAAACACAATGAGGTTACATTTTTTAATCGAAATTAGAGGTGGTGGAGTCTAAATACAAATAGTTTAATTTTGGATGTAACAAATCTTCTGATTGGCTGACAGTGAGTTGTCTATCAGCTCATATAGTTTGTTTTCCAAATAATGTGTACTGATGCCGTGTTCGCCATTATATGCTATTTAAGATATTTTGTTTTTAAATCTATATCCTTTTAATGTTTTATATACTTCATAAATTTTATTTATAAAACAACATCTCCATTCAAAATTACATCGTCGCGTGTTTATGTGTAATTCATATTTACTCTGACAAATAAAAGGCAGCATATTTAAATATATACAAACTAGGCAAAGGAGGTTGATCATCAAAATGCAGTGTAAAAGATTTGGAATTTAACAACAGGACATTCAAAGCTCATAGGTCAATGAAAGACTGACAACGCCATAGCAAAACAACATGAACCCGTCGCATGAGGGAAATTATAAAAACAGGGGAAAATAAAGAGAATAAAAAGTTTTATATCTTACGATTCGTCGTAATGTTTGCGATATGCTGTATGTAGTTAATGCTAGGTAAGTCAATACATTATAGCGAGTACAGAATACGACAACTAGGATCGTTACATGTACCAAGAAACACCACCAAATTACACCAGTTCTTGTAATAAAAACTGCTTTTGATACTTTTACTATCTATCTTAAAGAACTAATTAACGCATATCAACAATCAAGACCTCTTAGATCGGAAAATGCAATGTAACTAATACAACCTCGTGTACGCACCAAAATTTACAGAGAAAGACATTTCGTCAAAGCTACTGTAACAATCTCCCTAGCCATCTAAGACATGAACACTCCATCTAATTTTAAGAAAAATTTGAAAACACATTATTTTAGACTCGCTTTCAGTGATTACATTTAACTTCTTATTCTGACAGTGACTTTTTATCTTTGTTCTGCTCGTTGTAATATATGCCTTTTTAATTATTATAGTTCTTTCAATTGTTCCTTTTCTTTTTTATATGTGTTCATAATTTTATTTCATTCTTGATTGATTATTTTAATGTTAAACACCTCTTTTAAGTGCATTGATTTTTTTTATGTTAAGCGCTTAGAGTAATTTTAAAAAAATAATGCGCTATTTAAACATGTTAAATATAATTGTAAATAATATAAAATAATTAAAAAAGTCATAATATCTGTAATGATACATATTAACTGCTGTATTGCTGGCTTTATTCATTTTTTTCTTTTTAGTGTATTCGATATCAGAGTCAGTCGAGATGCATTATATCTTACTCTTTAATATCAATTTCCTAAGCAGCGGATAGTACCAACTCATGAATGATAAAGACATGTTAAGGAAACCGTATTTTAAAAATGTATAGGTAATTAGAACAGGTGTATTGAGGAAAAATGGTAATCCAAGAAGTTATGAAATAGATTCAATCTATACACTGATAACTAAAATAAATCATAATACTCGACAGAAAGATAAACTGAAATCAACGCGAACCTTTTAAAAACTTTAAGGTACATCATGTTGTATGACAACTGATATGTATTCCACAAGAAGCATTTGCTGTGTATTTAATGAACAGTGAAAGTCTGGTGACAGTTTAATGACTTACATTATTGGTTCAGTAACAGTTTAAGACAACACTAAAAGGAGGCTTCGAAAAGATTTTTTTTCAATTTTCAAATGACATTTCACACAAGGACCGATTCTTATCGCGGTGTTCTTGGTGTGACTGTTTGAATCAAATCAAAGATATTCTAGAAAAATTGCCCAATTGTCTAATTTAAAAAAAAAGATGAAAATGAAAATAACCGTTTAGAAATGTTGTGGTCCGAAGTGCTTTTTAGCAATGCCTTATACCAAGTCAGGAATATGACAGTTTTGTTTGTCATTGGTTCTGTCAGATAATGTAGTCGACAGTTTGATATTTTCAGGTTTGGTGGACTTCCTCCATCTGAATTAACCTTCGAGTTCGGTATTTCTGTAAACAAAATTTTTATCTTTATCCGGAACGACCAAAGTCAAATATTTAGAAGTAAATAATGTATAAGTTGCGAAACAAATAAACATATACAAAATATTTATACAAAACATTCATGTTCACCATCAATTTAGTTATTTACTCTAACATATTTGACAAGGTACCAATTCATACAGTAAGCCGTACATTGCAATATTTTGTGTAGATTCCAATGACCGGTACTGGTATACCACATTTAAATGTAAAACATAGGTTAAACCTATTTTGATTTGTGTGAAATGATTGTTTAAATACGATAGAAGTTATTTTTATTTCGTGTATTCAAAATTTTAAAATATGCAATAAGAATTAAATTATAAAAGAGTCGCGAAAGATACCAAACTGAGATTCAAACTAATAAGTCGAAATTAAACTGACAAGGCCATGGCTAAAAACAAAAACAATAAAACATATAGACGATAATACAAAAAACACAACATAGAAAACTGAAGACTGAGCAATGATAAATAAAGGCTACAGTAGTATATCGCTATTCAAAAGTCATAAATCAACAGTTATAAGAGTGGTTCCAGCAGGATCAAAACTTCAATTCAACATTTATGAACTCATGTTATCTGGAATATTTCTTTTTACTTTCAGATGAACATAAGAACCCCGTATACAGGGAGTTATTTTGTTACTTAACTTTATAAACTAAGCTATGAACTAAATTATCGTATTGATTAGCCAATCTCTCATTTCAAGTATGTACATTAAACAGAAAAGCAGGGTTATTATTTGGACAACATCCAGCAACCATTAACCATAACTGATCCTACTTCTTTGTACAATTGAATGATAATAGTTATATTATCAAAAAAAAAATACAAAAAATAATACCAATAACAGTTGTAAAATGAGATAGAATACAATCTGGGTCTTATGAGAAAACGTCGAAGCAAAATGTGTTTACCATACCTAAGTTTATATATTCTAAATTGATTTCCATAATCTGTAAATACGATGGTAGTTAGACGTACAAGCAGAGTATACTTAGAATAAGATGCTATGAAAATTACACTTCATAAGTTATAAAATAGTATTATAAATCTGTTGGCAATTTACGGTAAAATAGAAAAAAAAACCAACCATTTAAAGAAGAGACATGTAGGAAAAGAATATATATATCGGTTATATTACAATAAACCAATGTTACGTAAAATTTGAATTCGGAATGATGAATAACTATCTTTGATGCAACAATGATATTGGGTAATACTAGAAACAAATAATATCATTTTCACATTTCAGTTATAAAAATTACCTTATTAAGCTAATCTCTGTCCATCTCCTATCTGTAAAAGAATATACAAAATTACTGTCTGTGTTAAATATATTCAGGAAACCGTTGTGTCAATCTGTCAACCTGGTAACTGGTATTAAATATTTTGTGATATAGATACAATGGAGAAGCGTTGATTCTTGAAAAAGAAACCATTAGCTCGGTTAAAAATTAACGCCTATTCTTAATTAGAAGGTATTGTAAGTGAGTAAGTGTCAAACGATTAATTACAATAAATTAAATATCACATTTAAATGGTTAAAAAATACAAATAAATTTTAAAACAACACATCTGCCCTTATAGATCGCTATATTATCAAGAATCTGAATATTATCTGTTTTTACAAAATAAGATACATTCGAAGTTATTTCTATTAAAATTGAAAACTGAAATGGAGAATGTGTCAAAGGGGCAACAACCCGACAAAAAGCATATATATAGTGCATATACTAAGTATGTTTCCGAAATTTGTAACAAGAAGCATAATTCTAGGCACGTCACGATTTTCTAGCATAGGAATTTGCGAATTAACATTTGTAAAATTATGTAATAAAACAGATGAAATCCTATCATATTAATTTATAAAACAAAAATGGATAAGTTTAATGTAATCATTGTTGTTTCAAACATGTGGAAAAGCCAACAATAGTTTGATAATAAACGAGCAAACTCGTATATATTACACAAAATATCCACATTAACATACAAAACAAGAACAAACTAGAGAATAGGGACAACAACGAAAATTCAGGGATTCAAACCTAAACAGACAAGTCCTTACCTTTAACTCATTTATCTCAACCATGAATCCTCGTGGCTACCAACTCATACTATACGTTTACCTATTATGTATATATTTAGAAAGGTACAAGCCCTGTGTGTCAGTTGTACCGATGTATATCCTATATTCATTTATATATATAAAATAGACATTTAAATCGAAACCGATTGGTAGCTCAGAGGTTTCGTCGAAATGTTGATGTCAGTAACACATAACAGAATTCATGGACGGGTTCGATTCCCAGTGAAGGCATATAGAAATTACAAACATTAAAGGTAATTTTTTTTAAATAATTCCATTAGTGAACAGAAATCAGTAAATTAGTCAATTCAAACTTACTGACATTATGAACACAAAGGAAACAATAGAATATAATCAGGTGAGTCCATTTCAGCGACGGATTTAGGAAGCGTTGATTCTAGAAAAAGAATCCACAATAGATGAATAGGCTGACGTCACCACAATGGTTTAAATCAATTAGGAAAGATGAATAGCATTGCAAACAATAAATTACCCAAACGTTGTGTCAGATCTGATTTTGATCATACGTGCCTTAAAGCAAAAGTCCCTAGGTATGTCGAGTTATATTTTTAGTTTATGACGTTTAACTGGTTTCTCTTGTCTTGTCACCACAGGAATACTACTGATAACTGGGCTGGTGATATAACAAGGAACGAAATGTCAACCAGCATTTGCACCTGTCTAGTTCTGATAAAAACTCACTAAAGATACCATAAATGTTAACCAATTAGTTAAATTGGTTCTCAAACAATGATGACCAACTTCAATATAAAGGAATTTTATGCGACTGTCATACAAGTGAGAGATTTGGCTCGCTATAAAACTAGGTATATTCCACCATTTTCTACATATGGAAATTCCTGTACCAAGTCAGGAATATGAGAGTCGTTTTCAATTGCTCTAATGTTGCTGAGCTTTTGATTTTTCCGTTTTAAATTTTCCTTGGAGTTCGGTATTTTTGTTGTTTTAATTTTTATATATACACATCTTGTTTACGGTTGTCACTAATCTTGTTTTTGTTTTTGATTTTGTATAAGGTATTCGGAATCCTTTGGATTTATCTATGTAGTCAACAATTTCAACCACTAACCCAGACTTTTCATTTCAAATATGATAACACAGAGTTCAATTTGCCACTTTTATAATTTGGTAAAATCTTTGTTATTTTTTCATAGATTTAAAAAGAAAAGAAGTGCTAATGTCCAATATATAAAAAAAAAATAGACCTAGTTAATTCCCGCCAAATTTCCAATGGCTTAAATCTAAAAACAAGGACATGGACCTTGCATTTTCTACTACTTATTAAGCTCCGTTATTTATCTAATTTCAAAGTATAACTGTCCTTTATAAATTTAAAAAGCTTGTTATTTTGAAGAGCTGCGAACATCTTTAGGGAAGTTGAAAATCAATATACTTTGTAAGACAATCACTCTGATTGTAACAACTTCTTTGATAATAACCATGCATATTTGTTTTATTCATAACACATTTGTTACTTTTTGTAGACGACAATCGGCATCTGTATGGGAAACACAAATGCTCTAATTATGGTTGACTTGTTTCTGCCGAAAAGGTGTTTTTGGACAACCCATGGCTAACCAATATGAGTAGCATTAATAAAACTGTATCTTATGTGTTAATGATTTTTGATAATAAATAATTTATACAGACAATGTTGTATATATCACTGTTTTATTATTGCAAACGTATATCCTTCATTTTATTTTATACTTTATACTAATACAGGACAAACGCGTTTTTCAATATTTTTCACCGTTGTTATGTTTGTTTACAGGATATGCTTAATCACGCAATATGAATTATATTGACATGAGAAATACATCCGTGTCACCAGTGAAGCAGCAACTGCAGACCCTGGTTTTTTAGCGGGTATACGTTGCTCTATCTTGCGTTTTAGCTACGTAGTATTGTTTAACGTTTTATTCTCTGACACTGTGTTTTCTACAGTCAAATGTGTTTTAATTCCCGATTGATATCTTTTTTCTTTACAAAGATCGATATGTTTATCACGATGTCTAAATGGCATATGTAAAAAGTATTAGAATGTTTACTATCAGATGTTATTTAACGAAAATTAAAAAGATCTTTCCATATAAAGTGTTACAATTTTCTTCCAATATCAAACGTTTGATGAGTCCGCCCCGTACCTATCTACTATTCATGTCCAATTGAAATATCGATTTTATAGTTTCAATAAACAGGGCTGTTTTATAAAAAAAATTATATCGTAGGCACAAGTTTCTGAGATTAGAGTAGACTTCAATAAAAAATTAAATAATACAAATGTATTATACATTTTGTCAGTATTGAAATCCGAAGGTTAAGCACATATAAACATTTTAATATTTCCGATATTCTGTATGTGTCTGTCCAAAACCTGAAGCTTTTAATTCAGTAGAACATTTTTTCATGAATGATTTTTGTTTTTGTTTATTGTTCTAGATTGATCTTTTTTAATTATTTCCGGTTTGTTATTCCGAGACCTTTTGTAGCTAAAGCCTCCACTAACAAGATGAGTTACAGTGTAACACAAACTACACTGGTTGCATCTTTTTTTGCAAAACAGGATATTTTTATTGTTTCATTTCTTTATTTATTTGTAATCAATGTTAAGCTCGCAGTTAGTTTGGTAATCAGAATTGTCAATTAATTTTTTTTCAAACTATAGTTGGGAGATGTGTTGTGAACGTAACGAATTGATTTGAAACACAGTTTTATATTTCCCACTGGATGCAGGTTTTGTTTTGTTATAAAGTTCATGTTAATCAAATTGATTTAATAAACACTAGCTCTGAAAACATATTTTTCACAGTATATTGTGTCTTTCTTTGCTCTTACTGCAATACATACCTTCATAGCATTCACTATATAGAAATGCGTATTGATCTATATGATTTTTATTTTAATAAAACATAGCCTTGTATCAAAATTATAAGTTTAATGTTTCAATTTCTTATGTACAGATACCTTAACTCATCTGTGAACATGTGTTGGTAATATTCTAACCAGCAATCATAGACAAGCATATATATCAAATATTTCGATTCCACAGTTAACATAACATTTTGATAGTGGTGCATATTTTAAGACTATTCATGTTTTTAAAAATCATGTAAAACGAATGAGCTGCACAATTTTTAGGAACAAATATAAAAACTGAATGTTTATAGTAACCAAAGTTTAAAAAACTTAAAAGAATAATGATTCATTGAGGTCCAACTTGAGCTATTTCACCACTAAATTACAACAGTTATTCGAGTTATTCATATTATACTTTACCGCCTATTTTCAAATTATTACAATTACCTTTTTACTGTCAGCTGATTATTAAAAGTCTGTCAAAATCTAAACGCGTTATGAGTTCAAGGTAACAAGCATTTGTTTTCAAATAAGGTGAAACTATTAAAGAGACCTCTGAATCAATAAAAAAGGGATAGAAACCATCGATCCATTGCAATTCTTTTGCTGACAGGTTTTACAAGTTATGATTTGTGTACAAAAATCGATAAAGACGACATATAACCACTTTCTTAATATATTGATTTTGATTGTAATATTTGACTATCTTCAAAGGATGCAAACAATAAAAACACTGAAATAGTTCCGTCTTTATCTCCATTGAATCTATTTAAAGATGGGAACTATAATTCTAACATAATCATCCTTTTTTTTCCCATTTTGGTCGAAATTGTAGATTGTGACAAGAATATATTCCTCTAAATATAGCATTAACTTAGCTATCTGTACAACATGTTTACTTGCAAACACTCAATTTTGCTCAACAAGTGATTTCCAAATATGTCTTAAAATATTAAAGTCAAACATTTATTATTAAGATACTAATTATTATCTCCCCGGCATCGATAATAATCAGTTTTGCACAAAAAACGAAGCAATACAGACAATTAATATAAATATGTCTACTTTAAGTGTAATATCACCTTAAATATTGTTAAGTTAAGAAATGTTTCCTATTTTATATAAACTAAAATGAAACAAAACTTACCTTAGACTTTTTCATCTTTCAAAACTATGCTTATGACAGATTATTTTGTTAAATTCAATGTCGATTAATAAAAAAGACGTATTTACACAACCCAATTTTGAAATAACTTGCACCTTATGTGGCAAAACCTTTACCATGACCTTGACATATGTGAAATTTGATAAGACCATTGCAGATTTAAATACACACTTATACTTTGTCAGAAAGAATTTGTTAAAAGTATTTAAAAAACTAGATCATATAACTGGCGTGTTAATGCGTGAGTTGTGTTATGATTTAAATCAGTTGTGTACCAGGTCATCTATGTTATTGGAAAGAAACGGGTTCAGGTTGTATTTAGTTATTATAATGCCGCAAAACCAACAATTAATTATTAAAAGTATAATTATCAATACCTTTCGTCTGTAAATGAGATTAGGTGGATATATAATATCTTATGGCGGTCAATAACTTTCAATACAATAAAAAAAATTCAGCATATTTTATGAAAAACAACCAATCCTGATAATAAAAAAATACTTAAATTATTATGTTGGTTCCTTATTTCTATCAAAGTAAAGAAATCCTCGCCTTCTTATTCAACACAAACAAAAGTTCAAGTATCATAATTCTTATTTTATTAATATTCTATAAACAAAAAATTATCTTGGGACCTGCAAAATAACTAATTACAAATATCATTGCATTATTTAAAATAGAAAGAAGAGGAAATATTGGTAATTTAAAAAAAAAAGTTAAAACAACACTTTTATTCAATATAAAGATCCATTGAAATTCTTAAATTTAAGTATCTTTACATTTGTACTATTCTTACGTTTTCATCAACCAGTGACATTAAATAGAGTACTTATTTAAATGATAAAATCTTATCGTTTTTTAGTGGCACAGAAACATTCCGAGCACGACGTAATTTTGAACTTATGTAATTTATTTGGCAGGAAAATAAGAGAATGTGAAGTAATACATATAATGCGTGAAACAGTAATTTATATAGTTGTTGATGTGTTATTGCGACCAGGTTGATTACATATTAACGAATTTATGTGTCTTCGTATTGGTCCGCGTTTATCATTTGTAAATACTGATGTGTCGTTTTACATAAGAATTCTTATTATATACGTATCCGTCTGATCCGTGCATATAATTGATTTACTGATCGATGGCTGACCGTTGTCACGGTAACTCTCACATTCCTTTATTTGACGTATCTGACGGAGTCTAAGGGTCATCGATCAGTCAAACATCGTCACCGATCAGTCAAGGTCACGCCAAACAGTAACGCCTAAGGTTGCAAGTACGGTAGTTCTTAAATTTCTCACACTTGTCCAATTATGCATCAACGAAAGCTAATCCATTGAATTTTCTTCTACATAGTATTCAATCAAAAATTAACACTAGTGAGGATTCTTTCCTTTTTTCCAATAGTAAATAAATTAAAATTTAGCCAACAAAAGACAAAGATCAATAATAAGTTTAACAAGTTTTTTATACAATTTTACAATATACGTTTTTTTTTTTATAATTTACTGCCAATAAATGCCATTGTATCGATTGTTTCGGGGAGCTTATTCTAATCTAATTAATTGGAAAATATACTTACTCTGATTTTTTTACGTTCTCCAATGATGAGCTCCCAATTTCGGTTAAAATTTCATAACACCTTCTTCTCACAAAATATATACCCAAAATTGGAAGATATAGAGTGTTAATAATAAGATCTTCATAAAAAATATGTTATTACATCATCTTTTTATTTAATATATTTGAAAATTACATTATATTCCTGTAACAGTAAACTCGCATCTATTCAACTTCTTTTTCACATTTTTTGCATGAACATGAATGGGTTATGATCTGTTTACACAGGAACATGATGCATGGTGGGATCCAAATGTACATCAAAATAATGAAGTGCAGACAACAGAGCCAAACACTCTTATTCAATATTTGAAGAATTTTTCTACAGTTTATATCTAATTTCCTAAAAAAAAAAAGTCCAAAAGAAATAATTCACAATGTTTTCCTTCAAAATAATGGTCTGATGCGTTACATATTTATTGTTTTTGTATATTTTTCGGCATATGAAAAAGAAGATGTGGTATGAGACAACTTTCCACAAGAGACCAAATGACACAGAAATAAACAACTATAAGTCACCGTATGGCCTTCAACAATGAGCAAAGCCCATACCGCATAGTCAGCTATAAAAGGCCCCGAAAGGTAAAACAATTCAAACGAGAAAACTAACGGCCTTATTTATGTAAAACAAATTGAACGGAAAACAAATATGTTACACCTAAACAAACTACAACCACTGAGTTACAGGCTCCTGACTTGGGACAGAAACATACATACAGAATTAGGCGGGGTTTAACATGTTAGCGGGATCCAAACCATCCCCTCACCTGGGGCATTGGGGGAAAAAAGTACAACATAAGAACGAACTATAAAAATCAGTGGTAAAATGCTTAACTCATCAGATGGATACAAATACAAATACTAAAAATACAAGTGGATGTGGCCGGGTACTCGTACATCCCAACAAGAAAAAGCGAGAAATCTGAGAGTTATTGCAGTTACTGACAGCTAGTTTAATGCCACTAACAACTAATAAAAAATATCATGCATCTTAGACTAAATTATCAATCAGTACACATCCAACATCCAATGGATTTAGTGTAAAGACGTCATAAAAAGTCAGAGAGCGTATTAATATCAATTAAAAAAGGCTTTCCCGATATTCAAGCACGGTTACAAAAGAGGAACGAAAGATACTAGAGGGACAGTCTTACTCATAGATCGATAATGACAACGCCATGGCTAAAAAGGGAAAAGACAAACAGACAAATATTAGTACACAAGACACAACATAAAAAAACTAAAGACGAATTTCACTAAAAACTGGGGGTAATCTCGGGTGATCCTGACGGGTTAACAGATCCTGCTCCACATGCAATAATATTGATCTGAAACGGTAATTTCAAAATGAATAGATCTAAAAAGACAAACAGACTGAAGAATAACGTGCTAGGTAATTTTCATTAATTCAGTAAATAAACTCTTTGTAGATACCAGGATTAAAATTTTGTATTTGCGCAAGACGCACGTTTCGTCTAAAAAAAAAACGTATCAGTGACGCCAGAATAAAAAAAAAAGTTAAAACCGGATATATAAAGTACGAAATTGAAGAGCATTGAGGACCAACATTCTTTGAAGTTTTGCCAAATACAGCTGAGGTAAAGTTTCCTAGGGTAGAAAAGACTTACTTTTCTGGAGCACCAGAGATCACCCCTATTTTTTTGCTGGGTTTCGTTTTGCTTAGTCTGTAGTTTTCTATGTTGTGTCTTTTGTACTATGATTTGTCTGTTTGTCTTTTTATTTTCGTTTTCTGAGTTTGACTGTCCCTCTGGTATCTTTAGTTCCTCTTTTAGTATTTCAAAAATTATCAATCCTATCTACTCTCGTATACATTACTCTTTGCTAATTTACTTGCAGACAACCATAATTAGTGCAGACTATGATTAAATGGTTGAGTGGTGTTTTTGTCCTGTACACATCAACAATATACTGTATTGAACTAAACTGAATTGACTACAAATGAACAATATTCACTTTTCCGCAGTGAACAAGTCTGAAAAGTGACTGATAGACAGAACATGATTAAATTATTTATTAAATTGGAAGTTCTTGCAGAGAATGAGATCAGATATTTAAAGGTGTACCCTAAGGTGCCGTTTATAGTCATGCTGATCATACACTGTACGCTGAGGTCATCATAATATAGATATATATATTAGATTATGAGTTATTGTGGTATGCCAGTGATTTCGTTAGATATCTGCCTGCCTCAATCTTGTTTATGTTTTAGTTTAGAAAGTACATATGTTTCTAAAATTGTGACTCTATCATCTATGATATCATTCATGAAAACCAAGTTGCATTGTTTCTCCGTAGGCGGTAATGGTAACGTTTTCTTCTGTAGCTCAGTCCATATCGTAAACTTAAACATGTAAAATATGTATGATGGCTCGTTTTGGAGCTGAGACATTTTCACATGTGTGGTTAAATTTTCGGGGTGCGAAGTGAGATTACTTTTCTCGTAAATTAGCATACCCCGACAATCCTTTCGTGATGCGGCTCCTCGTAGTAAAAAAAATCACTTTTTTAACTTGAAATAAATTAATACTTTGAACACATTTAATAGCTTTATAGTTTTATTACATTTATTTTATATTCCTCTACTTTCCAAAATCAACACAATTGGTTAAGCTCAGTCACTTGTTTAAAACAGAAACAATATCACTACAGAGAGAATTTTTGTTTACACGCAACTTTTGAGTTCCTCATTTTGAGGCGCATTAGGGATATTGACCCATATGGAAATCTATAGTTCTGATTTTTCCAAATATTCTGGTGTGATCTTCATCGGTATGACTTTCTGAGTAAATCTGTGTGTTTTTGTCCATTTCTGAAAATAAATAAAGTTGTTTCAGCACTATAAGGCAATTATCTTTTTATCGCTTTATTTATTTATTTTGGATACAACGTGTAGGTATAATTATTTCTTTCGGTATACCTTCACTAGTCATTTTTCGGACAAAACTTCTGATGATAACCTTAAATTACAACACAAAGACACTGTTAAAACATTTTATTAAATTTTCTGGTGCCTAAAAGTGCATTTTGACTGAGAAATTATGCAAAAATGTAGATTTCATAAAAGCAGCAAATACTTTATTATATTTATAAGTTGAAATCTGGTATTTTAAATCATAGAAACCACTCTAAACTACTGTGAATGTAATGTTAATCATATAATTAGAGTGCAAAGTAGTGCAAATTTTCAAAACTTGTCCTTTCACATAATTCTATTTGAAAAAAAAGGTTTTTTAAATGTTTTTCAGTGAAAATCCTTTAATGATTGAGAAATGCACATAAGGTTTTTAAGGAAACATTGCGACATAACGCGTATTATGATGTCATTAAATAACGACCGATCAAAATAACGCTGAGTACAGTCTGCAATGGTACACGAAGAACAGTTGCCTATTGGGTTAACTCGAAATATCGGGTCGATCAGATCAGTAACTAAGTATTGTTGTATAGTATCAAGACCATAACAACAGTTTTCA